AGAAAGAAGAAGTAGAAGAAGAAAAAATAAAAAAAGAAAAATAAAAAAAAAAAAAAATTACACTCACGCAATAGTTATGTAATTTCCCGTGTGTATATTTAAACACGCATGATGTATATCTGTAAAAAGAAATCGTCTTCCTCCGTCTTACATTAAATTCATTTTTTCATTCATACACATTCATTCATTTATTCATTCATACATTCATTCATTTATTCATTCATACATACATTCATTCATTCATTTAATCATTCATTTATTCATTTATACACAAATAATTAACATATAACTTTCTGGTGATTATTTCATTCAGTTTGTTCGTCCAAAGCAGCGATGTGTTATTTTATCGAATAAGAAAGTAAATAATTATTTTAAGGGACTATTTTTCTTCATCAAGGATTGTTTAATTAATATTTGATAAATTCACTTTTGTAATTAAAAAAGAAAAAAAAAAAAAAGACAGAGAATAATAGTAAAAATACAATTTGGGTTTTTCGTATCTAGGGACCCTAGATTTTCTATAGCAGCAACACGTGAAAATATGAAATATAATATAATACAATATTATAATAATTTATTATTTATTATATATAATAAAAATTCTATTATTATATGCAATATTATTTATGTTATTTTATTTAAATAATATTTCAATTGTGAAATTACAAATAAATAAAATTTATTTAAAAACACAAATTATATATTTATATATGTAATATAAATAAATAATATTCATTGTATTATAATAGTAAATGGGATTTCTCAAAATTTGAATTTGTTCTATGGGGTCCTATTAAATTATAATACGTCGCTGCTAACATATATATATATATATGTATATATAATTCTAATTTTAATTTGAATATTTATGTTTTTAATCTCCCACCGATCAAAGAAACTCAAAATAAAGAAATTCTTTTCACCCTTCTTTGGCACATATTCAAACAAACAAAAAAAAAACAAAAAATCGTAGTAGAATTTAATAAGCGTTATAGTTACTGTATTGTTAATAATTTTCATGGGGTCTAATCTAAAAAAAAAAAAAAAAGAAGGAATAAACAAGAGAAAACAAGGAATACATACTTGCGAGCGAAAACAAACAAACAAACAAATAAAATAAAATAAAAATAAAAATAAAAATAAAAAGAAATAAATGGTGCCTAAAGCTTCGATTTTTAACGAAAGAATAAAAAAAATTCACGTGTCGACGAACTTAACGAACAAACAAACAAACAAACAAACAAACAAACAAATAAATAAAATAAAATTAAATTTAATAAAATAGTCACATAAATTGATACCCCTTAAATAAAAGTAAAAAGAAAAATAGAAAGAAACAAAACAAAATGAAATAAAATAAAATAAAATAAAATAATAATACAAATAATAAAAAATGTGGTAAAAGGGCAAGAAAAAAAAAAAAAAAAATTCGTCATTCGTTGAGAAACAATAACAATTTGAATACTAAATTTCCATTTGCCCTGTGACCAACAAAAAAATACTACCACGATTTAAAAAAAAAAACATAAAAAAAAAAAACAACCACCGGAGTTAGAAAAATTATACATATATATACACAAAAATTACATACATACGTTCATACCGATGATAAATAATAATAACACAATAATATTTAACACGTTGACGCCGGCGCCGAATTTCAGTGTCTGCGCTGTGGGGCGGCACTCGTATCTAAGATGCGCTTCATCTGGCGGCGCGCGATTTTTGCTTGTTCAAACCTGGACCAAGGTAAACCACCGGTGGTACGCGCCGTCCGATGGGACAGTCTAACGCGAGCCACCGGTGGTACACGCCGTCCGATGGGACAGTCTAGCGCGAGCCACCGGTGGTACACGCCGCCCGATGGGACAGTCAAGCGCGGGCCACCGGTGGTACGCGTTGGCGTGAACGTATTAATAACACAAAGATGTGTTGATTTGTGGGTTTTAAAAATCCCTCCCGAAAAAAATACGCGTTTTACATATTACAATAATAACAAACGAAAAATATGTAAATACATGTATACATGAATGATACGTGTATGTGTATGTGTTTGTGTGTAAATATAATTTTTAATTAATCATTGTATTTATTGCGTTGTGTTTGACCATACTCGAAGCCAAATAATAATCGAATACTTTAAAATTTTATTTTTGTTTAATTGTATATTAAATTGTTTAACGAAAAAAAAAAAAAAGAAAAAGAGAAAGAAAAAGAGAAAGAAAAATAGAAAAACAGTGGAAAGATACGAATTATTATTATTATTATTAATAAAAAAAAAAATATATATTTCACTTTTAAACCTTTCTATTAAAATTTCATTTAAAATATAAGAATACACATATATATGTATATATATGTAATATACACACACATAGACAAACACGTGGACGTTAGGTATATTAATTATGTATATAGTATACAAATATACATAAACATATGTATGCATGTATGATATAAAATACGTACGACGTATGTATGATTGTTTTTTTTTTTTTTTTTGAGATAAGAGATATGATTATTAAATATCTTGAAATATATTAAAACAACAACAATAATAATAACAACAACAACAACAACAGGAATAAAAATAAAAAGAAAAATATTGAAACAAACGATAATAAATATGACAAAAGAAAAAGAAAACAAATAAAAAAAAAAAACAAAAAAACAGAAAAGTAATTTAAATAATTACAAAGAAATGAACAACAAAAACTACCCCAACCCGTAGATAAGTTATACGCAGGTATATAATAATATTAATAATAATAATAATAATAATAATAATAAAGAAAAAGAAGAAAAAAAAAAGTAAAGTTATGTACCTTAAATATAAGGAATGCGATGTAACGCACTTTTGTAATAGCGATTTTGAGAAAACTGTAAAACAAACTGACAAAAAATAATATAATAAATTATAATAATAAAAAAAAAAAAAAAACAAAACAAAATGAAATTATTGACACTGAAAGTGGTCAAAAAAAAGTAGACAAGAAAATGAAAGAAAAGAAAAGAAATGAGAAAGAAGAAGAAGAAGAAGAAGAAGAAAAGAAAAAATGTTGACGCTTGATATTATTATTATTATAGTTTTCACTGACATATCCTGGTTATAAATAAATAAATAAATAAAAAAAATAAAATAAAATAAAATAAAATAAAATAAATAAAACACACATCCTTCTTATTAAAAAAAAAAAAAAAAAGTAAAGTACATACTACATAAAATAGCTATCATGATAAT